CATGTAATTAGCGGAAAGCCCTTTGGTGATGAAAAAGTCTAAAAGATCTGGAACTTTTCCTGGATCCGATGGCCAATAGGTAGGGCTCCCAGTAGATAGAAATTTATAATTGTTATCGGTAATAAGTTTAAGAAATTCTCTGCCTTTTGTTGTAGTTAAGCGGGATCCCCAATGGGTATGCTTGGCGTTAAAGTCTCCACCTGCTATAAATTTTTGGCCTAGCGTGTCAAAAAATGGCTGCAACATTTGGTGAGTCAATTTGTGTCTCGGAGGACAGTAAATGGCTGAAATTAGTAATGGAGTTGTGAGCTTTTCAACTTGGATTGTCGTGGCTTGTAAGAATTCTGTTTTGTAATCTGGTAGTTCCGAGTGAATAATAGAATTTCGAATAATTATAGCTGAACCGCCATGCGCAGTGCCATCAGGGTGTTCGGTGTGGTACACAGAATAGTAGGGTATTTTTATGTACGATCTGTTCGTGAAATGGCTTTCTGAGATAAGAAGAATGTCTATATTGTTAAGTTTGAGGAAATTGCCAGTTTCAAGGTGTTTATATTGCAAACCATTGGCATTCCATAATGCTATTCGAAGAAAGTTAGCCATTAGTGAGTTAATTTGGTTATGACGGTGCTTAACATGTTCAGGATTATACTATTTTGTTGAAGAAGCTGGTTAAATAGGTTCTTGAATTCATCAAGGAATTTTTGAAGTGTCAAGTCTTGGTTTGGGTAGGGTTGGTTTGAGGCAATATGGGCGTAACTTGGATTAGATGGATGGGGTTGATTAGGGAGTTGTTGAGTAGGTTCTTGTCGGTTCAGGTTTGGAAAATTTCGTTCTGTTAGTTGAATTGGAAAGGGTCTTCGAGTTGTTAATTGATTATTTGGTTGGTATTTTTTTTGAAGTTCTTGATATACTAAGCATCCCTTGTAGTTGGCCGGGTGATCTCCCTCGCATAGTGCGCATGTGGCTTTAGTATCCCTGGTTTTAGCACAAGTCATAGTATTGTGGGGTCCCCCACATTTTACGCATGCATAAGGTCTATTACAATATGTTCGAGTATGTCCGTAATTTTGACATCGTGTGCATTGAACTATTTCTGTGTTTTTCCTTGGGGGTTCAAAACTGACAACCAGGTTTTCTAGCGAACGAACGTTAAAAATCTCTTTATTGTTCTCGGCCGGTTCAAGGTCAATGAAGAATATTGGAAGTGGTTCTTGTGATCGTTTGCATTTTATGTTTATAATATTGCGCACTTTGTGCCCTACATTGTTGAGAGCAGTTATTATTTCGTCGGTTGAAGTGGAATGATGGACATGTTTCAAAACCACCTTATAGGGGCGATCTTCTTTCATTTGATAGGAATGATATATAATCTTTTGTTCGTTCATGTATTTTATTAGATTTCTGTATGTCTCGGGAGTTTTTGCATTTATCTTAACTACATTATTAGTTAGGCTCTTAGTTGTATATTGTTCGATTTCTGCTACTGCGGTTAGACTTTGTATCATTTGATCATACTTGATCACGCCTTGTACAAAAATGGGTGGCGGTTTATTTCCTATTGAAGTTTCTGATGCTTGTGTATTTGATGCTGGTGGAATATTTGGAGGTTCTTGTGCTAATAGGGAATATTTATTTGTTAGCGTTAAAGGTCGTTGTTGATCTTGCGATAAGGTCAGAGTATTTGTTTGTTTAAGTCGCTTACGTTTATGACCTTTCATTAGCTGCCAGCCGTTGTTGTTATCATTGGTAAGGCTTTCATCACTGTCGCTTTCGTCTGCAATATTAGGTTCCTCTTGTTGTTCGTGATTTGGCAGTTGATATGCACATTGCGGTATTTGTACCTGGGAAGGTATCAGAGTTTGTTGCTGATACTGCATGTGTGAAGTAGTTTGATATTGCGGAATTCGATATTGTAGGTTGGTTGGCTGTTGGAGAATGGTTTGATTTGGGAACGCAGGGTTTTGTAAAGTACCTGGAAAGTTGCTTTGAGAACTATTCACTGGTGAATTGTTTGCATAATAGGGCTGAACATGGTTATAAGAATATTGTTGTCCATTATAGCCGTTCCCGGCTGGCAGCATAGCTGCACAAATTATTAATTTCTCACTTTGTATAAGTAAATTTGTTGTTTACTTACAAAATAATATTAGTTACTATCAACGGAAAGTCCACTTGGGGTCACGTTAACATGAAAAACTTATCACTCTACTTTGAATTTTTAAAATATCGTAAATTCGATTTGATTGAAGTAAAACGGAACTTAGCTTAAATGTTGTCTATATGAAAAAATATGCACAGCAACTAATACATACACGGTGTCCATTTTTCGAGTGCCACTATGGGGATCTCGCTTATCTTAAGAGATAGACATTTGGTTAAATGAGGGCAAAGTTGCGAATTTTCGTGTTGAATAATAATCTGAAAAGAAATTAAAAATATCTTCAATAGTTTTGAAAATATCGCAACAAAAAGAAAATTTCTGATTTTCGTTTTTAATTTTTTCATACAGTAAACTAATCAGACATTTCTAATTAACACATTATTCAGACACTTTTTAATGAAGATTTCGAATATGGCATCCCGTTTTCAATAACTTTTAAGATGACGGAGAAACAGGTGGCAACTTTAATTTTTTTTATGGGCGCCGTTTTGGATTTTGACATTTTGAGATTACGTCTTTTTTTCTCTTTACAACGGTATATCACACATGGTAGTTCAGTAACACATTTTTCCTAAAATTACAATTTTAATTTTCTGCTAAGAGTACTTTGGAAAAACAAAACGTTCTTTTGTTGTGAACAGAAGGTTGACTTATTTCAAGTAGTTTGTGCTAGATTTATTGCGAAAATATTATTTCTTCTTTAGTATTTTGTTCTAATTTGAATTATAATTTTCTTGCAAAACGAAGGTTCAATTATATTCAGATGAAAATCTCACCTCAACTAGTTCCCTGCCAACGCTCTAACCAGACAGATGGATCAAACTGTCATACTTTTGTTCACGATAAAAGAACGTTTTGTTTTTCCAAAGCACTCTTCCCGAAAAATTAAAAAGTGTCTGAATAATGTTTTTTTGCGATATTTTCAAAACTACTAAAGATATTTTTAATTTCTTTTCAGATTATTATTCAGCACGAAAATTCGCAACTTTGCCCCCATTTAACCAACTCTCTATCTCTTCAGGTAAGCGAGATCCCCATAGTGGCACTCGAAAAATGGACACCGTGTATAGCTATTAACGATTAACCAATTATTAAATGCCTAATAAGTAGCAAATATTCGAAACTAGCTTTACGCTCCATGACTCCACTAAAATCTCTGGAGCCATCCTGGCTCTCAGCCTCTACGTTTTTGCAGATATGGAATAAGCAATAATAGCAATCAATAATAATATTTATTGATGTTTTACACATATAGTGTTTACACAAGCCATTTTAAGTATGCAGTGTAAGAGACAAGGCCGGAAAAAAAATTTCTGAGATCGACCGGGAAAAAACATTTTCTTATAGAATTTGGCCCGTAGAATACATAATTTAAAACAGTTTGAAGATTGGGCTACTAGAAGTTTCAGCCCTTTGAATTTTGTTTTTTGAAATTTGTTTTTTGTCCATAACTTTATATTGAGAGGTCTAATCGAAAAAGTACGAATTGTTTTGGATTCTACGCACCAAAATTAATAAGAAAAAGTGTTTTCCCGAGAAATTTTGTTGCAGTCGATTTTTTATAAAAAAGGAAGGTTATATAATGCCTTTTTTTGAGGCCCGAAAAAAAATTGTCTCAGATCGACCCAGAAAAAATTTTTTCTTATAGAATGTGGCCTGTGGAATCCATACCTAAATTCAAACAGTTCCAAGATTAGACTACTAATTCAAAAGTTACAGCCCTTTGAATTTTTTTTCGACATTGGTTTCTAGTCTATAACCTTTTATTGAGAAGTCTGATCGAAAAAGTACGAATTGTTTTGGATTCTACGCACTAAAATTAATAAGAAATTAATAAGAAAAAGTGTTTTCCCGAGAAATTTTGGTGCAGTCGATTTTTGGTAAAAAAGGAAGGTTAAGCATTCAAATACTATGCGAAGTATTCGAATACTTCTCAAAGTATTCAAAGACCTTGCGAAGTATTCGAATACTAAATATTTGTGAAGTATTTGAGTTACAAATACAAATACTGCTTCCATAAAAGTATTTAATTACAAAGTATTTCAATACTTTAAAGGATTTGAATACTAAAAAGTATTTACAAAATCAAATACTGCCCAGCTCTGTGCTGTATCATAAAAACTGCGCAACTTTTTAAATACTTAAATATCGTTATAAATATAATATGCATAGTTTAAATATGCATTTCTTGTGGATGTACATGATTTTTCCTTTCAATCTACCCTCAAATCATTGTGAGAACTACAGAGGAAATTTGCGAAAAGTGCAGTTTTCCCAGGTTTTTGGATTTTTATGTTTGTAAGTAAACTATATGGCCTAAAGATGTCGCTTTGTGCCTAAATTGAAGCTAAAATACATCTCTCCCGTGATTTTTCTCGTAAAATGAGTTTTTTTTTCGATATCGGGGTCAAAAATTGACCGAATCTTAAAATTTCAATTTTTTGTTAAAAATTGTCAATTTTTGGAGTATTGTACATATAGATCTGGTTCTGGTCTCACATTGTAGTATATTTATGATGGAAGGGGCCACCATTTCTCCCACAATGGTATGACATGGGTACTTTGCTATTTCCTAAGTCACCTTTCTCTTCGGAATCAGAAAAGCGAGCGTTTCTTCGGTTCGAAAGTCTATTTATAGGAACTGGGAATACCCAAGTCGGATTCGGGAATAAGAGTAACCAATGGTCCAAAATTCATTGCATTTATATTTCCTTTACGAAATTAATGCATGTTATCAAATAAATATCTAACTTGATTGCATGTTTTCATCAGAAAGTCATGTTCGCACGCAATTTTAGTGGAAAGATCACGTGAAAATTTATTAATTTACACCTACCTGAACAGCTATGAGTCCCGAACAAATAATAATCTGAGACCTTGGAGATATCAGGCTAGGTCTTTTAGCGGAATGTTTTCCAGCGTTAAATATTCGTGATATGCGATTGGTTTTCGTTAGTAAAGCGGCGTATACAACAGTAAAACAAAATCCGGCTCCAAACCTACAAATAGTGGGCATTAGTTGGCATAGAAGCTCTAGCGTCGAACTCACCTTTGAATACCGCACACGATATCGGTTGGCCGAAACACCAGAGCAAATGTTACGCAATAACACATCAAAATACCCGCCAGAAGAACGTAGCTCAGCTCTCTTCCGGATGCTCGTACAATTGGCGTGTCATTGTATCGAATAAATACACATACGACGAACGTGGTGATTAGTATACCGGTTGAACTGAGTGCCATAGCCCCAATGGCCCATCCACTTTTGGGACGCAGATATTCTTCGGGAATGTCTAGACAGCGTACGTGGAGAGGGTCTGGTACTGCGCCCAGTGGACAACCGACGCATTGTGTTGGGTCCGTTGGGTGACGAATCTGAAAGAATATATCATTTACCTATAGGAACCAAGCGACTCCCCCCTACAACATTATACAACCCTAGTTACAAATTAATCGTTACTTGACGACAGTATTTACTACATCCAGACTCAGAGATCTATTCACAACACTACATTCATTCACGAAAACGAAACTTTCCCTTTGTGTAATAAATCAGTAGGATTACCAGTCAAATTTTGACTATATTTACAAGATGTTGTGCTAGTTAAAACCAAGTATAGAAAATTCCTGGTCAGTAATAACATTAAAACAACCCCAACGATTCGTTATCTTCAGAATTTTTCCCGGAGTCTTCAAAAGCAACAAACAATTCTCAATCCAACCGACATCTGATAAGTAGAAACCGTTTTACATTGTACGAAAAAATCTAGGTCGTTAAAGATCCGAAGGCAAACGTCAAATTCAAGAAAGGTGTTGTGTTGTGTTTACCTTAAGACCTATTGAGAAGGATTTATCTATTTATTCTATCATAAAGAAATCCGGTAGGGGAGCTAAGTAAAGGACAAGAAAAAAATGGTTTTAACCCCAAGAAATAGGATTATAGGAAAGCCTATTTCAAGTTTTCTAAGAATCATTTTTTTGTTTCTCTAATTGATTACCTTTAGGGGTTGCACAAATAACGTTATAATTTCACATTAAAGTGCAATCTCGGACAGTACTTAACTATATTCGCTCTTCGGGGGTGACAACCAGTAAAGGATGCAAACCGTTTTTCCGATTGATGATGCTTAAAGGCTGCACACCCAACCCTATAATATCAAATCTAATGTAAAAACCCTATTTGTACGAAAATTGGGTGGTTTATCAAAGAAAACTTACTCTCACCTGTTTTAGGGTTGCAGCGCATGTGTTACGTCAAATATTCTTTGCTTCTGCGATTGACTATATCTAGGGGCTGCATATTAAAACGCAATTCCCGATAGTACTCAAATATAGGGAGATTCGCTATTAAGAGGCGATCATTGCGTAAGGGATGCAGCTTTTGTTTTTTGTATTTGTTTCTTCAAATGATTATTATGTTGACAAATAAAAAGTAAACTACCTCACTGTACTAAGGCTGGGTAGTTTTCAAAGAAATTTGCTCTTACACTGCAATTATCTACCATTAGGGTTCAAGCCCTTATTCGCAACCGACAATGAAATAAACTCGAGGACGCCGTAAACTCGGTAATCAATTAAGTATAACTCCCGTTTGCCTGTTCTCTGTTTGAAATTCATGGAATTTATACCCTCCCTGAGCATAATATGGCACATAGAACCTTAGAAAGCTTTTAAAACAGAAACAGCCTTTATTCGCGACTGAAAGTGAATGAAAGTCGAAGGCGCGCTAAAGCGGTAATCTTATTCAATTATTTAAGAATAACTCCCGCTAGTCTGTTTTCTACTTTCAATTAAAAAATGTCTATCCTCCCTCAGTACAATACTCAGGGTAAAACAATTTTATTTTCTACTGAGAAGGATTGAAAGTCGAGAAAGTGGGCAATCTTATGCAATTATTTACGTATAATAACTCCCGTGTGTCGGTTACCTGCTACAAGTTGAGAAAATTTCTATCCTCCCTGAACATAATATACCACCTACTATTCTTTAGAAAGCTTTTTAAACAGAAAACAGTGTGTATTTGCGACTGAGATTGAATTAAGGTAGAGGGCGATCTAAACTCGGCAATCTTTCCAATTATTATTTATATTTTATAACTCCCGCTTGCCAGTTTTCTGCTTTAAATTGAAAGATTTCTAACCTCCCTCAGTGCAATATTCCACCTAATGAGCTTTAGAAAGCATTTGAAAGGGAAAACAGCCCTTATTTGAAACAGAATTAATTAAAGTCTTATCTTATGCAATTGTTTATGGTATAACTCGCTTCTCTGTTTTCTGATTTAAATTCACTTTATTCTATCCCAGTCTAGCCCCCGTTCAGAAAGCATTTGGAACAGAAAACAACCCTCATTCGCGACTGCGAGTGAGTTAAAGTCGGGGACGTCATATACTCGGCAATATTATACAGCTATGGCCACATTTTACTATTTCATTGTTACGTATTTTATAGTAAAATATCCCACACAGTTTCCTTCAGTTCTTTCAACTACACTTTTCAGTTTTGTCTTCCTATTTTCTTGTCATGTATAATGCTGTTTGCAATGGCATGCGTTCACTACGCCACCCACAAAACACCTATCCTGCTAGCTAAAAAAAAAAATCAAAATTGTAACTCAGAATTTTATAAGCTCTCCTCGTACATATCCGGCATTTGCTATAAGAAAAGCCCTCATAGTGACTTAAAATTTCTCAATTTGAAAGACTCCAATCTAATTCCGAAAATTCCAAAGAGTTAGCTACAAAAATTTTCATTAAGCAAGAAAAGAAAAATATGAAATGAAAACGCACAATGGTTTCGAATAAACACACAATTAATTGATTGACAGTGGCAAACATTTATTCCAAAACACAACGGAACGAACTTAATACAAAATTCCGGTAAGAAAGAAAAGCTTAGAAAGCTCCGCACGCAGGCGGTCGACAAATAAAATAGTGGTTAATTGTCAATTTTGTTCAACTCTTAAAGATTTCTAAATTGGCTTTTTCTTATTGAGTTGCGAATTAACATCTTATGCTGCACACATTAATTAAGAACAGCATTTCTGCCGAGTGCTGAGGTGAAAAAGGCTTTCTATTTCTAACATTATGTGACAGAAGGAAAAAAATATTTTGATAACAATAACACAGTTTCATCGATCCCAGCGTAATATACACACATTTGTACGAAATACATTTTCGATTGACAGAAATTGAATTCGGAACAGGATTTCCTGGAGGGCTGACAACACGTCTTGTATTTTAACTGAAAGGTATAGGATCGGTTACATGGCTACTTAAATGAACATATCCTCGCCAACAACGTTATCCCTCCATCAGACATATCACTTACACCATTCGACTTAATAAAAAAGAACAGGGTAACAACTTGATTCATTCAATAAAGCACTCAACTTCCGCCGAAAACTAAATGAAAGTTCCCAACTTCGCGTAACATACAAACCTGATATTGAGTGCAGTTGAAACAGTGCCAACAGCAGCTTTCCCCCTCGACGTACTTTTTTGCTTGGCCGAGATCACACGGTAAACTGCAAACCGATTCTGGCGGTTTCGGTTGGCCTAGTTTGAACTGAATTTCTGAAACAGAAAAGCGAAAGAAGAATAAGTTTTGTTTTCGAAAGTTCGGGAGGCTCATTAATCAGCAACTTAGTCCGCTCTAATTTATTTACAAATTCGAGAAATTTGGGAAACGCGAAAAGGGAATTGCTTACATTTTTAATGTTAGTCCATCACACACGAAAACTAAACAGAGCGTCTCGGTTTTAAGTGGTGTCGTATGGAGCTTGAGTTTTCATGTGCTGTCAATCAACCTGTAGAGCCTGAGTCGTGGTGTGACTACTAAGACACTTCTCTTGGGTGTTGTTTTTCGTGTGAATTTTCCCCTTGAGATATGCATGTCTTGTCAAATAAACCTACTTTTTTAGACAGTAAATGAGATCGGCCAGGGGGGCATACTAAACCCATTTCCAGTGCACGCGGATACCATAATAAATTGCACCACATTTTATACAAAGTAGAGCAAGTGCAGAGGGAGTCACATATTTCGCCCCTATAATGGTGATAGGTAAGAAAATACCACCCCTCAAACGTGAAGTTATTGAAATTTCGAAACTTCAATAACGCAAACCGCAAGTTCGAGAATAATTTTTCCTAAATTGATGCCGACATCGCGCCAGTTACTAACAGCAAAATGATTAAATGGAACAAAGAGCAGCTTTAATACTAGGTAGTTATTGTCTAAAGTTTCAATTTCAAAATGAAGCTGCCGTTCTTTGTTTCTTATTAAATATTTACTTCGCATTTTATTGTCGTTTTGTATCAAACGGAAACTTTATATAACCCTTTTTGCATAGAAAACGATAGTTTTATAACTACGCTTTCTTACATGTCTATGATTGGTCGTGGAAAACGGAAGGATGAGCGCTTTCGGAAAAGTTGGTAAAATTGAAATTAAAGTTACATAGGAGCTTTATGGGTTCAGAGCACACTTTGTAGAAGGTACAGGCCTCCTACATTGGGGACACTAAAGAAATGGGAATTTTAAATTAGCAATTACGAGAATGCTGAATTGTTAAACGAAGCAGTGGTAAGGTTAACATGCTGTGAGGGTGCGTTGTTCACTTTTAGTAGGCAGTAACTGAAATGGAATGTTGTGCTGCCACTGCTAAACCCATAAGCATTTCCACACAATTAGTTACCCAAGTATTTTTTTGTATGGGAGCTACTGCTTCAATTCGGTGGTGTTAGAATCGCTTTCGCAAACCCCTTTCTCTAGATCCTAAAAATTTGTAGAATCTTATTTCTCCTTCAAGTTCTTTTAGAAAAATTCCTCTTCTAAATGTTACCTTCTTTCTTGCCTAAGAATCTTCCTAGAATTACGTTTAATGACCTTCTCAGAAACCTCCTACTTTCCCATGAAGCTTACTTTGAAAATTGTGACAAATATCTTCTTGGGAACTAATGTGGGAACCTTAGAAACTTTTCGAAATATTTTAAGCATTATTCTCGAAACCTTGCTAGAAGCCTTCAAAAACGATGTATTTTTTTATATATATTGGTAGAAAAATATTTTTTGCCTTTTGGAGTATCAAATCCCATAACATGTAAAAAATATAAAATTCAATTTTAAAACAAAATAGTCAAAATAGGAATATGGTTTAACACCGACATTGATTGTGGAAAAAATGGGGACCCAAAGGTATATCAGTTATGTCTTTTCTCAAACGAATGGATGAGCTTCGTAAACCAGGACGTATGTCTGAGTGTGAGCTTTTCGATTCTGCATTAGATTTATTTGAGGGTAAGGCCAGATCAATCGCAACTTGTGTGTAAACAGTTTTTGCCTGCCGATTGTCAACCGAAATTTGTCCAAGAAAATCTGTGTAAGGTGTAAGGTTAATTGCTGGGATTGTCTGAAGCATGGCCACTTTGCTCGATGTTGTCATAGACCGCTCAGAAAGCACTGTTTTAAGTGTGGTCGTCTTGATGTAACAACTCGCTAGATAAAAAAACGAGTAGTGGGGGTGATAGGCGTAGGCCAACTATCATCTCAGAGCGAAGGGCCAATCGCATTTCGAAATCATTATTTTCAGTAGCAATTGAAGTAGTTGATTCTGAGGATGGAATTATAGATTTGCGCTATTACTGTGATGCTTTTTTGGGATAGTTCGTTCAGGACTTTGCCGGTGATAAGGTCATATCCCGAACCTTTTTTTGGACTTAGTTTTATACCTCGTGAGCTTTAATTATTCTTATTGGGAGAGACACGTAGTCAGTTTGGCATAGCGGTTTAAGACTAGGGCTCTAACTTCACAGGTGGTGAGTTCGAATGCCACAACTTGCCAGTTTTTAGTGTTACAGATCATCTCCGGGCTACCATGCTTATACCATGACTGTCGTTAGGTAAGGCGGCTGTTGATGCCATCTGAAAGCTCGGGAGTGCTACCCATACGATAATTAAATAAATAAATAATTATCAGGAAGATCTGATGAGGAAGCTGTAGCTCTTTGATCATGTTTTCTTCTTTATCTGCTGTTATTGTGGCAGAAAAGGGTTGAAGTACTGATGTAAGATTTTCCCCAAACGCTGTGGCCTTTTGTTCGTCCATTTTTGCAAACAAGTTCCGTTGCTTATTCGTGGAGGTGGAATATGTTGTTGGGCCCGTTTTATTTTTCGTGTGGCTTTCCATAGTTCGGTTAGATACCTTCGAATAGTTTGATTTTTCAGATGCTGTAACATATTCTTGAGGTTTTTGCATCTTTGTCCAAAGGATTTGTAACCTTTGGGAGCTTTTCTTTTTTCTGATAACTTCTGTTTAACAGTTTTTGGGTATTTTTGTGTTATATTGGTATCAATTAGATCTGGTGTTGCTTGCCATGCTGCATTTTGAAGTAGGTACTTTCGTTGTGTGCTCTACGGGTCTCTGGTTTAGTAAAGAAATGTCTCTTTTTCTGTCAACTCCCATTTCTAAATCCCGTTAATGACAAACGTTCCCGATTCTTAATTGCTTGCAGTCCATGAACATAAGGATTAACTGTTCTAAAAAAACTACACCCTACAACTTTTGGTTTCGCTAGAAGATTTTTTCCCATCGGAAGGTTCCATTCTGTAGCTTCAGGATTTATTTTCTCCTATTAAGGAGATTAAGGATTAAGGAGGCGTTCCGACCTTACTATTAACACAATAATAAATCCTTACCTACGGGATCATACTGTTTACGAAGTACAGTGATAAAAATAGTATATTAAGATACAAGTGTATAATCAAGTCTTTAAAGCACGCGCAACGAGTTTAAGGGCACGACGCAAAGCGGAGTGCCTTTAACGTTGCAAGTGCTTTAAAGACCAATTATACACGTGTATCTTATAGTATTTTTTATTATACCTGCAGTATAATTTAAAAATAGGAAATACAATGAAGTCATATTGACGTTATACTCGAATACATGTCTAATTAAGTGGGCTGGGTGTTCGTAATTTCACGATTGCCATGGAAACGTCACTTGACGTTTGCCTATAAAAACCATCGTCTTTGTGAATTAAACGATTTCCGTTGAAAAAGATAATACACCGTCCATTAAATCAATTGTTGTAAAATCTAATCAAACGTTGGTAGGTGTAAAATCCAACTCCAGTAAAGCCTATTATAAAGAATATGAAAAGTTGTTTCCATGGATGAATAGGAAGTTACTTACGCATACATTCTTAAATGCATCCATAATGCTGGCATATATGAAGGAAATGTCAAAGGTATTTAAATCTTCTATATTTTGGTGCATTCATTCAAAACTTTAAAGCAATGCTGCGATTAAAAAGTGGAACAGATTTGGAAGCATACCTAAATTACGCGCGTTTGTGAAAGCTTCAACCAAAGGATAGGTACAAAAGCCAAAGAAATGTTCTGCATTTACAGAAAGCGACCTAAGAGGATTTTTTATTTCATCCAGATGACAGTTTCAAAAGTCATACTTGAAGTATCGTTACTTAGCAACTTTAAAGCACGTGTGTTTTAAAGACCCTTTTTCGCACGCATTTGAGTGTTTAAAACGGAGATTGTGATTCAGGTATAATAAAAAATGTATTATGTTATAAAATTGTCATAATTTATGTTTGATTAAAGTGTTTACAAAATTAGTGAAAGAAAGATTTGGATCTGTGATTTCTTAGAGATACAAACCGTTAGGAAAATTTAAAGCCATTTTTTAAAACCTTTTTAAAATTGAAAAAATCAGTTTCTCGTTTAAAGGTAGAAAGTCTTTAACGTAAATTGTGCATAAAAGATCGCTACTTATATTGTATTATTAAGAGATCTCCAGTGCATTTAATCTGCTCATTATTTAATGACTTATCCGTGCCAGTAGACGTTTTTCATGAAGGTTTGGGTCGGTTGTTGCAATCATTAGAGTTATAATTTATTTTCCTTATTAATATCTTGAAGTGTTTTTTTTTAATTAATTACTAAACTACTCGCATGTACTTTTGATTTTATAATTTTTTGGAATATTTGTCCTGTTATTGAGTATATTTACTTGTTTGGATAATAAAATATTATTATATTATTATATTATAAATTAAGGTAATTCACAGAAAATCGTGGCGACGAATTTATATCAAAGAGAAGTTCAACCCCCTTTGTATATAAAGCCTGTTGCAAAACCTTGATGGAAGTATATCTCTATACGAAGATTTTAATTTAAGTAATCTCTTTCCAGGAAATTTGTTTCTCAAATTATTGGTCTTCCTAGCAAATTCATTAGACATCCTTCAGTAATCTTCGTGGAAAATTCCTTGGGCAGGTATGCCCCAATCTTCTTTCTTACGAAATTTAACAAATTTAAATTTTACAATTTTTAAAATTTTTTAGGATTCTTTTTAGGAGTACTTTAAGAAATATTTGGAAACCTTTTTAGTGATTGCAGGAAACGTTACTAGAATGTTTATCAATTTTTCCCTAGAAGCTCATAACCTTTTTTGACAATTCTAAGTGCTTTCCACCCTAACATGAAATAATAATAAATAAATAATAAATAAATAAAATAAATCATCTTCCTGGATATATTAGAAATGTGTTAAGAAATCTTCAAAAAAACATCTTAACATCTGTATTGAAAAATTCTACTTGATGGTAGTGGATTCTATCTTACTCACGCCTACTATAAAATTTCATTACGGTTTCTCCCTTGTCCATTACTCCTTTTGCCTCCTCTCTTAGCTTTCCTTCTTTCATGCCTCTCACATTCAAGCTTGTTACTTCAGACGTTTTTTACATTTTGATTTTTCCCTGTATGATTGCTTGACAACTCCGTCTCTTTTCGTCAATCTTCCTTTCTGTACAGCTGGTTTATGATTCACCCCTCTCTTTCTGTTTTTTAAGTCTGATTCTTCCTCGATTTTTCGCCTCCTTCACGACCCTCCTTCCTAATATCTTTATCCCTTTTTTTCGTTGTGTTCACTACTTCTTCAATCAAGTTTGGTTCCTTTTCTCGTTACGGTTTTTCGCGTATCTTCTACACTTCCGCTTTATTCCTCGGAGTGTTTACCTCCACTTTTCCTTGCTTCGTTTTTCCACATCTTTTCTCTTCATGTTTCCTTTGCCATTATTCACTTATCTTTAAGAGTCTTCTGTACCCACTGCACCCAATGTAAATTTCCATAAGTGCGCCCGCCATAAAAACTCTAGTTGTTTTTCAAAAAACAATTTTTTTTAAGAACTATTTTATAAATTTAGACCTTTATCTACAAAATGTTCGGACTATTTTTTTTTAAGTTTATAGCAACTGAATACCGATTGTTTAAAGATTAGATGTTTCGCACCGATTATTGCGCTAATCTGTTTTATTTTTTTACTCTCGATCAAGACGATTTATGGAAAAAGTAAACCGACAGTTTTTTAGATAAGTTACTTCTAAACATGACCCCAAAAAATGAAATCATAATTTTTGTAAATAAAGTCTGTATCTTGGCGGGCGGTAAATCAACAATTTGAGTGTATCAAGTGGCGCCGCTGCACAGTGTCGGTGGGAACTAACTAAGGACCAAGACAGGAGTTGCCAAAGCAAGAAATTCATCTTATCTCTTGCAGCTATAATCATCTATACACTATAATGTAAAAAAGTTGCGCTTAGGTAAAGAAGACTCTTAAGGAACCCCTGTTGCGCGCCATCTTCTTGCATACTTCAGGATTTTGTTACGTGCTCTTCACTCTTTGCCGAAACGCCCTACTCTACGCCTACGCCTTGTTCGTTTAATTGCACTTCCCCCTTTTCTTTTGTGCGTCTCCTTCTCGCTGTTTGTGCATCCCTATTTCTTTTGATCTCCTTTACTTTTCCGGTGACCTTTTTTCGCGATCTCTTTAATCTCGTTCCTGCCTCTTTTACATCTCATTCCATAACGTTTTCTTTCTTTATACAATTGGCACATTGTTCACGCTTTTTACCGTTTCATTTTCTCACTCGCACTTTGCCTACTTCACAATCGGAATTCGATCATAATTCTAGGAATCAGGAGTTCTAACTTCACAATGACTTAAAAACATTCCTGGTTTCAAGTTACTTAGGAAAATCTTTTTTGGAAATATACCTTTACATGTACTCCGGAGAAATCCGTTTGTCATTCTCCTTTCGGGCATTTTTTCTCAAATTCCTAGATATTTCCATATACTTTACATTAATCGACACCGTTGCCATTATTTTTCAATTATTTAATTCATATATGCTTACCTACTCAAAAATCTACCTACCAAAAAATTATTAAACATTTTATCCAATTGCTGTTTTTATATGGTGAACTTTTTTAAGCAGAGCCAATTGCCGAAATCGTTGTTGTTCTATCGAGCAATTATTACCAGTTGAATAAACCTAAAGATAAATTGGAACAAAGCATAATAAAGGTTTCGGGTAGGTAAACGTAATTTGAATTTGATTTTCATTGCCTATAATGTAGATTTTATCTGTGATGGAAAAATAAAAGTATACACGCAGCCACAATCATTTTAGTACAATTACTTTATGGGTTCTGTTAACTGTTCTTCATCTTTAATACACGTGTATTCGTTTAAATTTAATTTGATGTAAAAATTCATTTTATCGCTTTCTTCTTTGTATTTTACCACAAAATTAAATTGAATTCTATTGTGGCGAGAGCAGTTAATTGTTATTTACTTACTTTGTACGCTATGGCACAAGGGCTTTGACTGTGTGCCTTGTTACGAACAGTAACTTCTTGCAGTTTTTGCAGGTTTCAGACAGTTTTTTCGATTCAACAAAAGCACAAAGAGAGCAAATATCTCAAAGTTAAAGCAGAACTTACCTGACATATTTAATCTAAGTTCGCCTTCCCAATATTCGCCAACACGAACCCACCGATACTTCCCTGACGAAATTTGTTTAAAATGTATTATATTGTATCTCGCCGGTCCATCGCCATTTATATCGAAATGGAATCTGTCGCCACTGAGCCCTGCAAAAATGAATAGCTTTAGCATTGTGTGTCAGGCAAATTCCACTAAAGAAGGCAAGTTTCCCTCTAGCAAATCAATGGAGAAACTTTTGTAGTTATTTTGTAGCGCTGGCTCTTTTATTATCCACCGCAAGCTCCGTAACGGCCTAATAATTGTCACTTTTTTATTTTTTTTCCCCTAACGATATCTGCGCAACGAAATGGGGCGTAATAATTTATCACGCTTTTAGTAGGGCGACAAAAAAAGTATTTTAAATTTTATTACGCGTCGTATCTCACCTCTTTGTTGCGGTATACCTACGCGTGAGATTCAATAGCCTCAATAGATCCTTTTAAATTTGTTTTTACCAAAAAGCAGGAGCCCTGCGTACCTGCTTAATAGAAAATGTCTGGTTTAGTGATATAACACTTGAAAATATACCCATATTATAAGGGTTTATCTTTGATTTATGAACACGAAAGGGGGATCAGCGTATTTTGGAACTGTCCTGATCGTCCCCACCACTATCGATACAAAAAATATTGTTGTAATATCTTTTTTCTTTTTCAAACATCGATGAGTGATTACAGCAATATTCTTGTAATTTATACTCCTGGTTCCGTTGCGCGTTACTGGAAATAGCAAATGCGTTCGCCATTTTGCGAAAATTGCCTAATGTTCTACTTTATCACTTTCCTCATATTTCAAATCGCCTAACAAAATATGTTACAAAGCGACTGCGGTGACATTAGTAAGTTTTATAAAGAGCCCCAAAAATGATGTCTGATAGTGTCGATTTCTGTTTATTTTTGATGGTGAAGGTTGCGGTGATGGAGAAGGTAAAAGAGGGATTATGTGACATATGAAAAAAGTGTACAAAGTGCTCAGGAATTCACGTCAAAGTTCTCAGTGACATGATTTATTGATGTGTCTCGGTAGCTCTAAATTTACATTTAAATTTTTCGAAATTTCGTTGTGAAGTTAGAAATTTTGGGAGGTCGCGGGTTCCTAATTGGTGGAAATTTAAAAAATAAATTTGCCCATTGCGGTGCAAATATGGTGCGTGCGTTTTTTTTTTATTAGTTTAGGAAGCGTTTCGAGCCGAAATGTCTAGGATTTATACCTATCACATGGGATGATACGTGGATATTTCCTCTCAATTTGAATATTTGAACAATTCTCACCTAATCATCCCTTAAATTGTTTGATTCGTGCGCATTACGTTCACTGAGAAAAACGACTCAGTTTGAAAATTATTTTTAGTTGAACTGAGCGTAATTTTTCGAACTTCATTAGCGTTTTTTAAGGGATGATACGTGTAGATTTCTTATCATTTTGATTATTTAAACAATTCCCACCTAAGCATCCCTCAAATCGTCTCGACCGTCCGCATTACGTTCTCTGAGAAAAGCGACTGAGTTTGAAAACTATATTTTTAGTGGAATTTTTCGAACTTCATTACCGTTTTTTTAAGGGATGATAGTGTAGATTTCTTATCATTTTGATTATTTAAACAATTGCCACCTAAGCATCCCTTAAATCGTCTTGATCGTCCGTATTACGTCTCTGAGAAAAGCGACTGAGCTAAAAATTCTTTTTAGTGGAACTGAGAATAATATTGCAAACTTTATTAGCGTTCTTTAAGGGATGATGAATGTATGTTTATTATCAGTTTGAATATTTGAAGAATTCTCACCTAATCATCCCTTTGATTCGTCCGCATTACGTTCCCTGAGAAAACCGACTGAGTTTGAAAATTATTTTTAGTGAAACTGTGCCTGATTTTTCGAAGTTCATTAGCGTTTTTTTAAGGGATGATACGTGTAGATTTCTTATCATTTTGATTATTTAAATAATTCCCACCTAAGCATCCCTTAAATCGCCTTGATCGTCCGTATAACGTCCCTGAGAATAGCGACTGAGTTAAAAATTCTTTTTAGTGGAACTGAGCATAATTTTTCAAACTTTATTAGCGTTTTTTAATGGATGATGTGCGTGTATGTTTATTATCAATTTGAATATTTGAACAATTCTCACCTAATCATCCCTTAAGTTGACTGATTCGTCCGCATTACGTTCCCTGAGAAAACTGACTGAGTTTGAAAATTATTTTTAGTGGAACTGAACGTAATTTTTGAAATTCACTAGCATTTTTTAAGGGATGATACGTGTAGATTTCTTATCATTTTGATTGTTTAAACAATTCCCACCTAAAGCATCCTTCTTGATCGTCCGTATTACGTCCCTGGGGAAAGCGACTGAGTTAAAAATTCTTTTTAGTAGAACTGAGCATAATTTTTCGAACTTTATTACCGTTTTTTAAGGGATGATGCGTGTACGTTTATTATCAATTTGAATATTTGAACAATTCTCACATAATCATCCCTTAAATTGTCTGTTTGGTCGGCATTACGTTCCCTTAGAAAACCGACTGAGTTTGAAAATTATTTTTAGTGGAACTGAGCATAATTTTTCGAACTTTATTAGCGTTTTTTAAGGTGTGATGTCTGTATGTTTATTATCAATTTGAATATTTGAACAATTCTCACCTAATCATCCCTTAAGTTGACTGATTCGTCCGCATTACGTTCCCTGAGAAAACTGACTGAGTTTGAAAATTATTTTTAGTGGAACTGAACGTAATTTTTGAAATTCACTAGCATTTTTTAAGGGATGATACGTGTAGATTTCTTATCATTTTGATTGTTTAAACAATTCCCACCTAAAGCATCCTTCTTGATCGTCCGTATTACGTCCCTGGGGAAAGCGACTGAGTTAAAAATTCTTTTTAGTAGAACTGAGCATAATTTTTCGAACTTTATTACCGTTTTTTAAGGGATGATGCGTGTACGTTTATTATCAATTTGAATATTTGAACAATTCTCACATAATCATCCCTTAAATTGTCTGTTTGGTCGGCATTACGTTCCCTTAGAAAACCGACTGAGTTTGAAAATTATTTTTAGTGGAACTGAGCATAATTTTTCGAACTTTATTAGCGTTTTTTAAGGTGTGATGTCTGTATGTTTATTATCAATTTGAATATTTGAACAATTCTCACCTAATCATCCCTTAAGTTGACTGATTCGTCCGCATTACGTTCCCTGAGAAAACCGACTGAGTTTGAAAATTATTTTTAGTGGAACCGAGCATAATTTTTCGAACTTCATTAGCGTTTTTTAAGGGATGATACGTGTAGATTTCTTATCATTTTGATTATTTAAACAATTTCCAGCTAAGCATCCCTTAAATCGTCTTGATCGTCCGTATTACGTTCCCTGAGAAAAGGGACTGAGTTTGTTAATTCTTTTTAGTGGAACTGAGCATAATTTTTTAAACTTTACTAGCGTTTTTTAAGGAATGATGCGTGTATATTTATTATCAATTTGAATATTTGAACAATTGTCACCTAATCATCCCTTAAGTTGACAGATTCGTCCGCATTATGTTCCCTGAGAAAACCGACTGAGTTTGAAAATTATTTTTAGTGGAACTGAGCATAATTTTTCGAACTTTATTAGCGTTTTTAAGGGATGATGGATGTATGTTTATTATCAATTTGAATATTTGAACAATTCTCACCTATTCATCCCTTAAATTGACTGATTCGTCCGCCTTACGTTCCCTGAGAAAACAGACGAAGCTTGAAAATTTATTTTTAATGGACCTGGGCATAATTTTTCGAACTTTATTAGCGTTTTTTAAGGGATGATACGTATTGATTTATTATCAATTTGAATGTTTGAACAATCCCCACCTAATCATCCCTTAAACCGTCTCGATTGGCCGCATTACGTTCCCTCAGAAAAGTGACTAAGTTTGAAAATTATTTTTAGTGGAACTGAGCGTAATTTTTCGAACTTCATTAGCGTTTTTTAAGGGATGATACGTGTAGATTTCTTATCATTTTGATTATTTAAACAATTTCCAGCTAAGCATCCCTTAAATCGTCTTGATCGTCAGTATTACGTTCCCTGAGAAAAGGGACTGAGTTTGTTAATTCTTTTTAGTGGAACTGAGCATAATTTTTTAAACTTTACTAGCGTTTTTAAGGGATGATGGATGTATGTTTATTATCAATTTGAATATTTGAACAATTCTCACCTATTCATCCCTTAAATTGACTGATTCGTCCGCCTTACGTTCCCTGAGAAAACAGACGAAGCTTGAAAATTTATTTTTAGTGGACCTGGGCATAATTTTTCGAACTTTATTCGCGTTTTTTAAGGGATGATACGTATTGATTTATTATCAATTTGAATGTTTGAACAATCCCCATCTAATCATCCCTTAAACCGTCTCGATTGGCCGCATTACGTTCCCTCAGAAAAGTGACTAAGTTTGAAAATTATTTTTAGTGGAACTGAGCGTAATTTTTCGAACTTCATTAGCGTTTTTTAAGGGATGATACGTGTAGATTTCTTATCATTTTGATTATTTAAACAATTTCCAGCTAAGCATCCCTTAAATCGTCTTGACGTTCCCTGAGAAAAGGGACTGAGTTTGTTAATTCTTTTTAGTGGAACTGAACATAATTTTTTAAACTTTACTAGCGTTTTTTAAGGAATGATGCGTGTACATTTATTATCAATTTGAATATTTGAACAATTCTCATCTAATCATCCCTTAAGTTGACTGATTCGTCCGCATTACGTTCTCTGAGAAAACCGACTGAGTTTGAAAATTCTTTTTAGTGGAATTGAGCGTAATTTTTCGAACTTCATTAGCGTTTTTTAAGGGATGATAGTGTAGATTTCTTATCATTTTGATTATTTAAACAATTCCCACCTAAGCATCCCTTAAATCGCCTTGATCGTCCGTATTACGTCCCTGAGAAAAGCGATTGAGTTAAAAATTCTTTTTAGTGGAACTGAGCATAATTTTTCAAACTTTATTAGCGTTTTTTAATGGATGATGCGTGTATGTTTATTATCAATTTGAATATTTGAACAATTCTCACCTAATCATCCCTTAAGTTGACTGATTCGTCCGCATTACGTTCTCTGAGAAAACCGACTGA